ATTCATGTGAGTAGTTTCCCTTTTTTCTCTTTATTTCCGTAAACGGTCCTTTCATCCACGTTCTCATCTGACTTGTGCTTCTATTTCGTCTACTTACATACCCTAGTGCGCCGCAAATACCATTCACCAACGTTACAAGCAACGATCTAATGGATAATCCTTGGGGTTCATCTGAGCCCGGCGGCGCAAACAACAATCGGTCCCAAGCTAGTCAGCCTGCCATCATCCCACCAGCCACACTTCAAGCCCAAATCGAACAGATAGTCAAGGCCGCTGTCGATGTCTCTCTCAAATCAGCAGCAGGCGGGAAGAAAAGCAAACCGACTTCAACCCCGAAAGCCACTCCAGTCTCGAGAAAGGTTGCTCCCGAGAGCTCCCACAAATCAGCCTCCAAAGGAAAGGCGCCCGCCGCTAAGAAGGTCACGATCACCCCATCGAAAAGTCCCCCACCTGTTGCATCAACCTCCAGAAGATTTGACCGCGCCAGATCCGCTCCCCCCGAAATCAACACTACCGTTGTTGAGAAGCCGAAAAAGCCTCGCAAGTCAACCAAAGAATCACCTGCGAAGGCCCCTGCACGAAAGCGGAATCCTCGACAGATGCAAACTGGCGACTTTCCAGCATCCTATGCAGGCACTAAGGCAAGTTTCTTTCTTTCTTTTTTTTTTCTTCATTCCAGAAGTATTAAACTCATCGATTGGTCATTTAGAACGCAGTTTTTATCCATGTAAAAGTTCTCTGGGGGCTCTTGAAATCAGACTCGGTCCCCGAAGCTCCTGATTTGCGGGATCTGCAGGAGTTCTACGACAACTTTTCGAGGGAGGACCACGTCAACCAAGTCGCCAGTTTCGCCTCGTCTGGTCGTGAACTGATTGACATCAATCAAGTTCAGATTCTCAAGGACGCTCGCGCAGGACGTATTCGAATCGGAAACTCTTACCTTCACGTGGGGGATAACTTCATTCGATACGCCAAGGGACTCATGGCTCGTTTCGGTTTCCGAAAATGGTGTCCGAATCTCGAGGAAGACTGTGATTCGTTATACAACGCCGCTTGTCGAATTGCTGCTGTAACGACTTTCCAGGAGCTTGCCGGGGCCAAAGCGTATGCTTATCTTAACATCGATCGAGAGGCGGTTCAAAACATGGGCTTTTTGATCCAATGTTACAACCACTTCGTCCACTACTTAATGTTAGAGAAATACAAAAAAGAAAATAAAGAAAAGGGTAAACTCACAAAAGAAGTTCAGCACAAGAGCGTCCAGAAGAATCGCGAGCGAGTAAGTCACTCTTCCAAGTTGCACCAGTTTTGAGGAGTCGTGTTCACATACTAATGTTTTTCTTTTAGCTGGCTGCCAGCAGATTGGAATTTGCGACGCTCAACAAATTCCCCTCGCGATACATCAAGATTCTCACCCCGATCGCGGCTCATAGCGACGATGAAGTTCAGGAAGGAAAGGGCTTCTTCAAAATCAAGACATTACCGTATCGATCCAAGAACGCGAATCGGTTTTTTCGTCGCCTGGACATCTGCATGTTGAAAGCAGCGGAGCAGGATCCAAGCAAGCGTCGCCGAGTCCGCAAATTACCGAAGAACCCAGAGATGTCAGCTTACACGGCGGCACCAAAGGGTCTTCCGATCGACTTTTACGACCCCGAATGGTACCACAACTTAACACCGGCTCAGCAACAGCTTATACCCGACCTTACTAATGTCGCGTTCCTTCCAAACGCAAGTGAATCGCTACTTCCAAAGGCTCAGCGACATCCTCACGAAAGCTCGAAAGATAAGACTTTCACGCGAATATACTTTGAACAACTAGCGGAACCCTACGGACTTGTGGCATCAACGACCAGCGAAGAGTCTGGTGATGAAGAAGGCGAAGGCGAAGGCGATGGCGATGATGAAGAAGGGGAAGGGATCGACTTAGACGGCCCCAGCCCGGATGCTTCTGAGGACAAGTTCTTTGAAGAGGGGGATGCCGGTGATTTGTACAACGACGACTTTGTTGAAGAAGATGGAGGCGACGATGAATCCGACGGCGATGAGGATTACGAGGAAGACAGCAACTACGAGGATCCAGAGCACTCCGGGGATCACGAGCCGATGCAAGGTGTTGAGGAGGATGAACCAGTCTGGTAATTTTTTCTATTCAAGCGTATTCCCTTCTCTCCTCCAGTGTTCCAAGTTCCTTTCTGTGCCATCTTTTTCCATCTTTCCAACAATATAAAAAAGAAAAGAAAAAAAAAAAAAAAAAAGACAAAAGAAAAAAAATATGCTCCCAATTTCCAGTCCTTATTCACTTCTTTCTTTCCCTCTCTTCCTCCAATTTCATTATTCTAATGGTCCAAAAAAAAAAAAAAAAAAAAAAAAAAAAAACATGGTACAGTTTCCTCATGTTCTCTTTTTCCTGTAATTCTACACTCCATCTCTTATTCTTATAGTCCAGTTTTACCACTTACTCTTCTTTCTTTTCCCCTCTTTCTCTCATTTCTTATCTTTGAATCTACAAAAAATCCAGATAAAAAATTTTAAATATAATTATAAAAAAAAAAAAAAAAAGGGAAAAAAAAAAAAAAAAAAAAAAAAAAAAAAAAAAACCAGTGTAAATATGTTTCCTTATGTTCCTAAATCATTTCATTCTTCACTTCCTCCAACTAGTGTCTGACCATTTTAGTATATTGTACTCTCCAAAGCTCAACCAACCTTGTAAGTATCATCTCTATTGATGAAACCTCAACAGCTATTGTCAACCACCCATGTTACTCCATCTGATTTTTACTGTCCAAACGTACTGCTATCAACAAGCTTCCATATACTTTGTCCAGCCACACATTTTCTCATTTTTT